GTGATTTATTTTCCTTTAAGTCAATACCCAGTAGTGGGTTTGCTGGATCGAATGGTAGGTCTACTTTTAGTTCTTTGGGAAATCTCCACATTGTTTTCCATTGAGGTTGTACTAATTTACATTCCCACCAACAATGTTTAAGTTCTCCGTTTTCACTGCATTTGTGCCAACATCTATTTTTGTTTTTGCATTTCCTGGATGATTGCAAACAGCAAGAAGTCAACATCTTCAGGCCAGGAAGAGAGGCTTCACAAGAAACCAACTCTGCTGGCATGATGATCTTGGACTTCTAGTCTTCGGAGCTATGAGAAAATAAATTTCTGTTGTTTAAGTGAAATTTTGTTACGGCAGCCCAAGCAGACTAATACACCTAACATGCTCTTTAATATGTTAGCATACTCAACTAATCAAGAAAGTTACACTTCAAAGGGTTGTCATTAGTGACCGCTGAATGTTGGGATTATGAGTGCTTTTAACATTCATTTTTCCTACTGTCTTCTAATTTTCTTCCATGACATATTGTTTTATAAAGAAAAAGAACATTGTTCTTCATTTAAAAAAACAAAAAAGGAGGACTGTCTTTTTATGGGGTGGATGATATCTTCAACATCTTCTCTATATTATGAATTTTATATGCCAGTTGTAATATGATCCTCAGTGTAGGTAAGTATCAAACATTGAAGGATAATTCCTTTTAAAGCAGTTGTACAAAGATCAAATTATGGTTTTTAAGCATGACATATAAATAAAGTTGAAACAGAATATTTACAGAAATAGAAGAGCTACCTGACTTCCAGATAGTCTTAAATAAGTGCATTTTCGCAAAACTTGCCTTTCAGTAAGAACTGGACAGGAGGAACAGAATATTGCAAGGGCTCCAACTTTGGAATCAAGCGGCCTGGTTTTTTCCTCACTTGGCCTCTTTCTAGCTAAATCATTTCCAGAAAGGCATTTAAACTCTATAAGCCTCAGTGTTCTAATCTGAAAAATAATATAATAATATTAACACTCTTAACAAGTTTTGTTTGTTTGTTTGTTTGTTTTAATAATACGTGATAATACTTAATGAGAACCTACCATAAGACTTAGCTGCTAGGGTGCAACATAGTTATAAAGTACCATGATTATTTGAAAGTTCAAGGTTATATTTTCTATAAAGGACTTCCAGTACAGATATTTTGCATTTCTGATTGAAATAGATATACATGCTTTTCACTTCTATTGGACAAAGGGTGGGCTTTAGCCCACATATGAAAGAAAAGCCTCTAAGCTAAATTTATTCTTGCACAGATGATTACTCTGCATCTATAAAAGGAGAGATTAAGTCCAGGAAGTAGTTCTAGATTTTTTTCCAAACTCAATTTTGTTCCTAACCTAATATTCATTGCTTTATTAACTTAATATTTTATATTTAAAGTAATACATTTGCATAGGGTTATACATATTCCATGTATGAATATTTTGGCTAAATAGGATAATACCTCTTTATGGAAATTTAGATTATAAGTTTAAAAAAAATGAAGGAATTCCAGCTAAAACTAATAATTTGGATTTTAAAAATAAAATCCAAAGAAAATAAAAATAAATAAAATAAAATCAAAAAATTCCCCCCAAATTTGGAGATTAGGAGATTGAAAGTGATCTCAAAAAATTATCTAACTGCCAAAAAAAAAAAAAACCCAAAAAACCAAAACTGCCCTTTGCTTCTGGAACACAATTTTCAGGCTTGCATAATTTTTTTCTAATAATAATGTATTTTATATAGTTGCAGGGATTATGTACTAAACTTACTGTCTTAACTGCCTGAACTTTGTAAATGGACAGGCTAGTGAGAAGTTTGTGGGCTGAACAATTTTTGAAAATGTCGGCTGAATTGCATCATATCCTGAAATACATTTCACAAGTCTTAACAGCAGCAAGTGGCCTAAATGAGTTAGGATCACTCCTCAAGCCCTTAAATTAATATCAGGAAGCAATTTAGACACCGAGGAGAATTAAGCTCAATGTGTTAGTGAGATGAATAATTGAAGCATTTGAAGTGGGTGATAGATCTTACTAAGTGATTACTTCCTTATAAATTCCTAAACAAGAAGTCTCCATTGAGAAATGGTTTGGGATTGCTGCCATTTGTCACTTGGCCTATGAATGCTTAATCACCTGTATTTTCAGGCCATTAAAGGCTATTCAGTGTATTGTGGTGGCCCAAAATAGTTAATACATCCACTGAACACCCAACCCAACTCCCCAGAGGGACCATTGCAAATGCTGGGAAAGTATTCAGCTTATTGTTGTCACTCTGAGTCAGTAAGCCACTATTATCCTGATAAATTTTTATAATAAGAGTTAATATATAAGTAGGAAAAAAAGGAATTGTTTCTACAATTTTAATGCTTATTTAAGTTGCACACTTCTAGTTATTTTAAAATTTGAGTTAAAAATTACATCAGATTCATTGTAACTGAACCCTCAATAACCCAGTTTAGATTACATTGGTCAGGGTTGGGCGTCGTGGCTCACATGTATAATCCGGATAGTTTCAGAGATGGAGGTGGGCAGATTGCTTGAGGCCAGGAGTTGGAGACAGGCCTGGCAAACATGGCATAACTTCATCTCTACTAAAAATACAAAAATTAGCCAGGCGTGGTGGCGCACACCTGTAATTGCAGCTACTAGGGAGGCTGAAGTAAGAGAATCCCTTGAACCTGGAAGGGGGACATTGCAGTTAGCTGAGATCACGCTGCTTCACTCCAGACTGGGCGACAGAACAAGACTTGTTCTAAAAAAAAAAAAAAAAACCACTGATTAAATTTGTTATGCGTGCGTCTGATTGAAGAGACAACCTGAACAGGCTAAGTGTGAGCAACAAGACTGTTTATTCACTCGACTGCAAGCCGGCTGAGTCTGAAAAGGGAGTCAGTGGAGGGTGGTGGGATTGGAGCTAGTTTTATAGGTTAGGGCTAAGCAGTGGAAAGTTACAGTTAGGGGCCATTTATTGCGGGCAGGGGAAGAATGTCACAAGGTACATTATCACAAGGTGGGAGGGGTCACAGGGCACAGTGTTGCGAGGTCGATTGATCAGTTAGGGAAGAGCATGTTACAATGGTAGAATGTTGCAAAGTTGGCTAATCAGCTAAGACAGGAACTAGCTGTTCTTTCTTCCTTAGTAGTTTTCCTGTTGTCCCAGACTTTCTGGCTCCAGGAGACCTTCTGGATGTGTACGTGTGGGTCACAGGGGTCATAATGGCCTGACCGTGGTGTAGCCTGCTCAGAGGACCTTACAAAATTGTGCATCATGAAATTTATCAACTACTTATGGTAAAGGAATGAAAAAACACAAATTTAAAAGGAAGGGTTAGCTTCCACCACCTAGACTAGTATCATATGCTTTTATATTCCTATATGCACAGCACATGCTTCTATATATGTTAGATGTCTTAATATACCCTGGGTGAGCGGCAGCATAAGATGGTGTTTAAGAAGAAAGGCTCTGGAGGCAGACATACTGTAGCCAGATCCCGGCCCAATAGGTCAGTTATTTAGTCTCTCTAAACCCCGCTTTTTTTATCTGTAAAATGGCGAGAGTAATGGTAATAACCGCATAGGGGCAGGTGAGGATTAAACGACACAGTAGATGCCCGGGTGTTTTGTGCAGTGACTTGCACATAGTAGTCATTACACACATTTGTCTATTATGGAATCCTGTCATCTTTTTATTTGCTCAAACTGTACAGTGCTTTTTTTGCCCAGTAATCTATATAACCATTCTAATTCAGCATTAAGTATTTACTATGTTTCTTTAAACCTTTTGATTACATTAGTTGTCAGTCCAGAACCAGCTTAAGTGACTGGCTGAGCTTGTGTAAAACATGAGACTGAGGGAAAAGAGGAGGTTTTATATGCATGCAATATAAAACGCTAGATATTTTCTTAAGCTACATGAGCATGTTCTAATAAAGGCAGGCAGCAGATGAGAAGAATTTATAATAGCTACATTCCATATATTCTTGTTTCTGCTTCATAATTTGTCTTTGGTGAGTATGTAATTTTTTTTCACAGTAGTTATTCCCAGCTGCATATGTGTGCTGCAGAAAGAAAGAGCATATGGAATATATACCGTGTATATATACATATAGAGATATTCTGGCATTGGGCATGTGGATTCACATGCATATACATGCACACACTCGTACTATCAGTCTATGTATGTCTATATGTAGACAGAGACAAATATATGTATAGATATACATTCCTTCTGCTCTTTTCATTGTGTTATGCATGTCAGAGGCAGGGAGAGTTCTGTTCTCCTCCCTATTCCCCACCCCCCCACAAGCTGGAGGGCCAGAAGGTGGGGCGGTACCTCAGGATAATGGCAGCAGAAGGCAAAGGGAGCAGACAGCTGGCAAGCTCTGTCCCAATATGCTTCCCTGAAAGAGGCGAGGAAATTTCAGAAGATGCAATGCCTGAATGGCTCACTTTGCAGAAAAACAGAAGAACCAAGGTAAATTCCTTAGAACGTCATCCATTTTAATGGGTCTAGAATTGACCATCTTCTTATCACCATTTGGTAAACTTCCCCAAAGTTGTGAGTTTATAAACATCTCATCTTGGAAGATAGTCTAGAAAGACATGTCAACTTTTCTGACTCATGAGGGCTCTTCTCATAAGCTTAAAAAGATTCTGCCAATGCCAGGTGTCTCCCTGGAATTTTCTAGAACAAAAATATACAGTGAAACCTTTGCTATGTTAAACACAGGGAGCATAAGAAATTCTGAATAGCAGATACCCTGTCATAAGCACTACAACTTAGCTGTTTTGAATGAAACATTTTCAAAAGACATTTTACATGCCTCCTTGCCATTTAAAACAGATTATTCTAATTTCACAGTTTCCTGATGATTCAGGGTCAACATTATGAACAATAATTTTTATTAGTCAAATGTAGTGCTCTTTGAAATGCTTCATTAAAATATATAGGACTATTTTCCCTATTATTATTATTATTTTTTTTAATTTAAATCCACTTTTTATTCTTTCACAGATTTTAACAATTATACACAACTTTTAACATAAACATAGTGAAATCTCAAGGATAAGGAGGCAATATATATGGCCTCTTCTATTCGTTATTCAGGATGGAAGGAAATTTTCGAAGTACAATGGGTGAGATTTAACACTGGAAAAAATACATAGGAAACTTGTTTAACTGGCTCCACTTAGGACCAGACACAGCACAATAAATATAGAACCGCATCATCTTTTTAAAAGATCATTGTAATTTTAACACATTCTTACTAAAGAAATACATACTATCAATGACCAATCTGAAATTCTGTAACAGGTGAAGAGAGACTTACGATGAATCTCTGAGCGTAGGTTCGCTAGCATCTTCACACTCATACATAAACATTCTTAAAGGGAATAAGAATGATTTCAAATTCAAAACAACAACAAAAAAACAAATTTGGTCAAACTTTCTTCATCATACCATTCATTGCTATCACAATCCTAGCTTGCTGGTAGGTTTAAGAAAGGAATAGAAAGTTTTTGAAATCCTTTTAATTTCTACTAGTCTTAGGGCCTCTTGGGTAGGCCACTTTGGAAGCAAACTGATTAAACAGCACCATTAAGTCCGCATCTCAACAAACCATTGCATAATTTCTGTCAATGTTCTCAAAGGTTAAAACAAGTTGTATGGAAGAAAACCTTTCCTCAATAGCAGGCCACTGTAAAAACATGTAATCTGCAAGAATTTAAACAAAACTATCCTGAATTCTCTACTGATTGCTTCTTTCCTTAATAGATCAACATATAGGCATTACCTAAAAAATTAAATAATAATATACTGAGGCATAAAATAAATACTTCATTTATGCTATCACAATTTGGGTATTTGAGATTGTTAGCCATGTTCACACACCCTTTCCTCTACCCAAAGAGGAAGCAATGGTGCCAGCACTACTGGTCAGAAAGAGTTAATGGGAAACTGTTGCTCTCAGAGCTGTTCTGCAATATGCAGACACATAAATTATTATTTTAAACATATACTTAAAAGATGGATAAAATGATCTTTTTTTTTTCATGTGATGCAGATTCTGTTATCAGTAGATACAAAATTAATTTCATTCCTATTAGGATGGAAACTGGTATGCTGCTGTGGCCATAGATAGTCTGAGAAACCTCTTAAGCCAGTGAACCAAAAACCATATGAAAGAAAGTAATATTTTCTGTGATTGGTTAACTGGCTGTTCAAAAATTCAACAAGCAAACAAACATGCAAACATGTGACACGTCATTATTTCGTAAAAACATAATGCCACTTTGGCCCCAGGAATCACTATAGCCCAGCTGGTCCTTAAAGGTGCAAACAGCCTTTAATTGCTACTAAAATCTCTGCTATTTTACTGCCCATCACACTTGCCACATGATTCTCAGAAGCTTAGGCTTCCAAGATGTTTAAGGAAAATTAAGAAGGTGTGATGTGGATCAAGTTTTCAGTGATTGTTTTAAATGTAATTTTAAAAAGAACTTCTAGTAATGAAGTATATAATAGTCCTTGATACTAAATTTTTTCTAGTGAAATAAACTATGCTTTAATAAGACAATGTTGCTCTAAGTTTGACCGCCTGATTCTTTTCTTCTCTTTTTTAGAGGGTACTGTTTCATATATTGTGTGAGCCCCACAAATGTCTATTTTAAAAAGAGTATAGTCCCCGGCCGGGCGTGGTAGCTTATGCCTGTAATCCCAGCACTTTGGGAGGCCGAGGCGGGCGGATCACCTGAGGTTGGGAGTTCGAGACCAGCCTGACCAATATGGTGAAACCCCGTTTCTATTAAAAATACAAAATTAGCTGGGCATGGTGAAGCATGCCTGTATAATCCCAGCTACCAGGGAGGCTGAGGCAGGAGAATCGCTTGAACCCGGGAGGCTGAGGTTGCAGTGAGCCAAGATCGTGCCATTGCACCCCAGCCTGGGCAACAAGAGTGAAACTCTTGTCTCAAAAAAAAATAAAATAAATAAAAAATAAAAATAAAAAGAGCATAGTTCCCAATAGTTTCTCACAAATATTCCTGATTTATAGTGGGGGAAGCGATGCATAATTGGAACATTAATCATTATGTTTTTTGAAAATTAAATATTTCCTGCAAAGCAATTCCTCTGCAAAATGCTAAGCTGCCAATGAGCTTACCACAATAGATATTGAGTCATTTCACAAAGTACCTGTTCAAAAGTTATAGAAACCTGGCCTTCCATTCCAAATTCACTGCAAAGAGAGTACATGCAGTAGTCCTGTTTACAATTTAATAGAGATAAGGGCACACCTAGGACAAAGAGGGTCATCACCCTACATACAAGTTTACAGTAGTGTGACCATAATATATATTTACTACATTCACCACTTCAGATAGAGGAAGAGGGAGGCCCTTCACAACACTAGAACAAAGGAATGTTAGTTTTATATAAGACCTACCAGAAAAACAGGGAAACAAATAACACACATAGGCACTAGTCTCAAAGCTGCACAATAAAGAAGCAAAGGGTTTGAGATGAGAAATTCAGGAAAATATACACATAGGAGCTTGTTGAGGAAAAGGAAATCACAGTTCTAATCTTCAAGGCTTCTAATCTTCAAGGCTACGGAATGCATTCTGCATATCTTCAAGAAGTTGTGCATAGTCGCTCTTGATCTTTGCCTCACCATCTTTCAGTGGATCCTTGAATTTCATGGAGGAAAGTTTATAGAGGATGTCTCCCATGTGTTCACGAATAATGGACCATGTGATTTTATTGTCACTCTGGGCAGTGGTTTCAACAGCTCTACGAGCCATATCGTAAAATGCAATCATGTTGGACAGCATCCCTACTGTCTTGTAGAATGGGCAGAACCTGTCATAAGGAGTATATCCATTTTGTTGTAGGAAATCATCTTTGATAAGTTTTGCTACCTCCAGAGTGATTTTATCTGTTTCTGCCAAAGAAGCCTTTCCGACAAGCTGTACAATTTCTGCCAGGTCTTCTTCTTCCTGCAGAATTTCCTTAGCTTTGGTCCTCAGAGGAACGAACTCTGTGAAGTGTTTGTCATAGTATTCATCCAAGGCACGCATATACTTGCTGTAGCTGATGAGCCAATTGACAGAGGGGAAATGCTTACGCTGAGCTAGTTTCTTATCTAAGCCCCAGAACACCTGAACGATACCAAGAGTGGCAGATGTAACTGGATCAGAAAAATCACCACCAGGTGGAGAAACTGCTCCTACAATGCTGACACTCCCTTCTCTTTCAGGATTTCCAAGACATTTCACCCTGCCTGCTCGTTCATAAAAAGAGGCCAGACGGGCACCAAGATAGGCTGGATATCCACTATCTGCAGGCATTTCAGCTAAACGACCAGAGATTTCTCTAAGGGCCTCAGCCCATCTAGAGGTAGAGTCAGCCATCATACTGACATGATAGCCCATGTCACGGAAGTACTCGGACAGTGTGATTCCAGTATAAATAGAGGCTTCTCTAGCAGCAACAGGCATATTGGAGGTATTGGCTGCCAAAGCTGTCCTCTTCATAATTGACTCTACCTTACCATCAACCTCCATTGTGAGCTCTGGGAAGTCCCGGAGGACTTCAGACATCTCATTTCCTCTTTCACCACATCCTACATAGATGATTACATCACTGTTAGAATACTTGGATAGAGACTGTGATATCACTGTCTTTCCACAGCCAAAGGCTCCCGGGATAGCAGTAGTTCCTCCCTGGACACACGGAAAAAGGGCATCAAGGACTCTCTGGCCAGTCAACAGAGGATGATTGGCTGGCAGCTTCTCAGTGACAGGTCGAACTTGACGTACAGGCCATACTTGCACCATGGTGAACTTTTCCTTTACACCTTCAAATTCAAGCTCCAAGACAACATCAGAGGTATCATAATTCCCAGGTGGAGCAATATAAGTTACAGTTCCTCTGTTTCGTGGGGGTAACATGATTTTGTGTTTGATAAGCGAGTTCTCATTGACAATTCCATAAATGTCTCCGCCAGTGATATGACTACCAACCTGTAGGTTTTTGCAAGGTGTAAAGTCCCATTTGATATCTCTGCTAAGAGCAGACACGTTTACTCCTCTGGGGATGTAGATGCTTTGGGTCTGACTGCTGATATCCGACAAAGGTCTTTGAATACCATCAAAAATGGCTCCCATAATGCCAGGACCAAGCTCTACAGAGAGGGGTTTACCAGTGCGAAGTACAGGATCTCCAACAGAAACACCAGAAGTTTCTTCATACACCTGGATAGTAGCCATGTCACCCTCCAATCGAATAATCTCTCCAACCAACTCGCTGTGGCCCACTCTCACCAGCTCATACATGGCTGCACCCGCCATGTCACAGGCTGTAACCACAGGTCCTGAGACCCCATGCACATAACCAAATGTGCTTTCTTTATCTTCATCGAGTATTTTGGGTAGCTTGGAAAAATCCATGTTAGTTTACCTGCTGGGGCGCGAGGTGCAGAGACCGTACCGACCGAGGACCGAGAGGCTCTATTTTCCCTGTTATTAAAGTATTTCTTTTCCTTTTACTGTGGGCCATTATTTCTCCCAAGGTCTATTTTGATACTTCGAAATCCGTTGTTGGCTTGAATTACGTAGCCTAGTTTGTTGGGATGTTATAAAAGTAGGAAATAATTGCCAAGTGAGCACTCAAGGCTTCCTTTCTTGCAAAGGCCTTGTCATGTACATAGCCTTTGCAAAGCCTTGCAAAGATTTTGCTTGTTTGTTTGCTTCGTGGGTTGTCAAAGATGAGGTTAATGAAAGGCTAAATCTTCCTTGAACACGGTAGTCTCCTCCTATCCACAGTTTCACTTTACATGGTTTCAGTTCATGGTCAACTGTAATCCAAAAATATTAAAATATTTTGAGAGAGGAAAGAGAGAATTCATAGTCACATAATGTATAATCCAATGTATTATTATCATTGTTTTATTTTATTATTAGCTACTGTTGTCAATTTCTTACTGTGCCTAGTTTATAAGTTCAGCTTTATCATAGGTATATATATATATATATATATATATAGAGAGAGAGAGAGAGAGAGAGAGAGAGACAGTATATAAAGGGTTCAGTACTCTTCACAGTTTCAGGCATGCATTAGTGGTCTTAAAACATATCCCCCAAGGGTAAAGGAGGACCACTATATTATAACTGTATAGTGTCATTTTGTCCATAAAGCTTAATCTTATCTCCACAATTAGACTGTAAACTCCTTGGAACAGTGATCATATTATATACCATTTTCTTTATTCTTCATAACACCAAATACAGTACTCATAAACTGGACACTCACTTACTTTTACATTGATTCCAGGGTATAAAAAATTTTATACTGGTTAATTATTATCACAATGAAAGAGCAACGTGTTGGATGGGAGTATCAAGCTAACAAATTAACTTCAGCAACTGCCAAAAGCACTGGGTGACAACTGTATTCATGGGACAGATAGTAGTAGTAATGAACTAAGAGCTTCGGGGACTCAGTTATTTTGCTACATTCTGAAACATTAATATGTATAGGCAGGCAAGTACATGTGGATCAGAAATATAAGCAGTAAAAGTCATCAGTTGATGTGATGTGTAGTTAACTTTTTTTTTTTTTTTTCTTCAGGGATTCCGATAATCAGAGCCATGGCTTGAGGATACCATGTAGTCTGTCATTTCAAAACTTTATAAATTCAGATTTGGAAAAACCCCTTTTCCTAAAATTAATATTTGAAATTTTATCAGCATAAACTATCCCATTTATGCATAATATGGTAAGAATAGGAAGCTTTTGTTTTACATTTTATATGACTCATATAAAATGAACTTCACATGATTAAAATATAGTTAAACTCTTATTTATTTGTGTGTTTCAATTTAGTTGATTATCTTATAGTTTATATGCCAGAATATCATATGGGAGAAGACATCATTTATCTGCTGATCTTTCTAAACAAAATCCAGCTATTTATTTTCTTTTTCAAGCTGGTTCTAAACTAGATTAGGGTCAAGTACATGGAATCCCTTATGTCCTTTACTTCTCCATTTGTTGTTTTGGTTATGCTTACAACTAGCTCTATTCATTATAATTGCTCACCTTCACAGAAACACCAATGACATCATTTTAGAAACACAAGTCATTCATGTTTCCACTTATTTATGGAGTGCCCAGTTTGTAGCACATGCAGTAGGCCCTTAATAAATACTGATATCCTGGGGCTGGCTAGTACTGTTTCTTACTATCTGACTTACATTTTCAGGAATTTTGCCTTCTGGATGGTAAATCATTGGTAGCTTTAAATTAACCATGGTGGGGTTATTTACACCACCACAACACAGAAATTGGCAAATGTTCCAAATGTCCCTCTATGAGCCAGTTGCTGAACATTTACCAACACACCATCACGAGTATTTTTTATGGTGATGACTTGCAAAAAACTGCTTGATTTTCAGTACACATTGTGATACACGAACATATAAAATAGAAATATTCCTCTACTACTGAAAGGAAGTACTAAGGACTCTTGATTTTGATAACAAATATGAATGCACTGGAGACCAATATGATAGAATTTAGTTGGATCTTTCACAGTATTTGATATATATGTTTGCTATTGGTTGAATGAACCACCCCCTGGCCTTGCAAAAGGATGTATTAGAAACTTATTCCCCAATGCAACAGTGTGTTGGGAGGTGGGGCCTAATAAGAGGTGATTAGGCCATAAGTGGTCCCCCCTCCTGACTGGATTAATGCCATTACTGTGGGAGTGGGTTTATTATAAAAGGCCAAGATCAGGGTTGGGCGTGGTGGCTCATGCCTGTAATCCCAGCACTTTGGGAGGCCAAGGCGGGCGGATCACAAGGTCAGGAGATTGAGACCATCCTGGCTAACACAGTGAAACCCTGTATCTACTAAAAATACAAAAAATTAGCCAGGCGTGGTGGTGGGCACCTGTAGTTCCAGCTAGTTGGGAGGCTGAGGCAGGAGAATGACATGAACTCAGGAGGTAGAGCTTGCAGTGAGCCAAGATGGTGCCAATGCACTCCAGCCTGGGTGACAGAGTGAGACTCCATCTAAAAAAAAAAATATATATATATATATATATATATACACACACACACACACACACACACACAAAAGGCCAAGTTCAGTCCTGTCTTATTTCTCATGCTCTCTTGCACTTCTGCCTTCCACCAGGGGATGACGCAGCAAGAAGGCCCTTGCCAGATGCCACCTCCTCAATCTTAGACTTCCTACTCTCCAGAACAGTGAGCCAAATAAATATCTGTTCATTATAAATTGCCCAGTCTATTATATTCTTTTATAGCAGCACCAACAGACTAAGACAGTGTATTTATTTCCTTTTGCTGATCATGAATTTCTCATATTGTTCATCAAAGTCCATGATAATTTTCTTCTAAAAATTATTTTTGAAGTGATACTAATGGCTAATGTGTATAGTACCTGCTCTTTTCTAAATATTGTTCTCACCAATTTACACATATTTACTTAGTTAATAATCCTTATAAATAAGGATTAATATGCCTCGTTTTACAGATCTAGAAACTGAGGCACAGAGACATTGAATGACTTGTTTATGTTTGCAGGATAGTTCTCTGGGTAGCCTCGGGCCAACCCAGTTCCCTCCCTTTCCTTAGTGGAAGTTCTTAAGAATAACTAAAATATACTGGGAATGCAACATCCTGAGAAAAGAGTAGACTGGCCAGAACAGCCAAGGCTCTATTCCAGTGCCCCCTAAAAAGAGGATTTCCCTTAATGCTTTATCCCAGCAAGTTATGCTATCCTGGAGTATAAAACCCAGGTTGGGCTGTTTTCTGGGGTTCCTCAGCTGTGGTACAAGTGGAGCATGAACAAGTAAGACTCTATCCACCCCAGGCAGCTTTCCTGAGCCTTCAGGTATGGACTCCCAATTGTTGCTTACTGCCTGCTGCATGTAACCTGTCATCTGTGTGAATATTCTGTTTTACTGGATTTAGGCAAGTCGATAACCAGTAAACAGCAAATCTGCTTCAAAATGCTCATGCAGCTAGCGAGTGCAAGAGCTGGGACTTGAATACAAGTAGTCCAAGTAGTCAGGAACTATAAAATGAGGATAATAGTAGTCCTTATCTCATAGAATTATTGAGTGAGGATTAAATAAATGAATATGTACAAATTAGAAAAATACCTGGCAAAGAATAAGTATTATACACATTAGCTCTAAGTATTATTTTTAAAATGTATTTTTAGAAGAATTGTATTATTGACTATTACTGACTTTGTTAAACCATAACTATTGCTGATTCATAATCATCAAAAGAAAATAAATACACATGTATTACATGCTCTTAAGCACTCTGTTCTATTACTTCTTTATAAAAATTTATAAACACAAATAATAATTTTTATTTTAAAAATATTATCTCAATTATGTTTACTTTTTATCTCAATTACTTTACTTTCTAAGCTGTATCCAGTCCTTTGGGGAGCAAGGTAGGAGATAAGTGAACAAAAAATTGTACACTATAGAAAAGTTGGGAAATGTGAGTAATAAAGAAGAAAATAAAACCATCCAGAGTCCCATTTTCTAGAATATCTGTTAATACTATTATACTTTATTTATTTGCACATTTTTCCTGAGCTTGCTTTTGTTTGTATGAGATCATAGTATATCTTCTTTACTCATTCAATATTATACTATAAGCCTGTGACCCAGAACATCTCTTACATTATTTTTAAAAGTCAATACATTTTGAAAGATTTTTTTTTGGTGAGTGGAGTCAAAGTTTATTTTTTTAATTAATGCTATCAGTTAGCCAAACTCTCTTCTTTAATAAATTCATCAAATGACTGAAATGGTGTTGTATATACTTGATATTTGTAGAGGAGGGCTGAGTGACATTTTTGGATGTCTTAACGCTGAAATTCCCAAAAAGTATCTTAAATAATCAATATTATATTTTCTAGATTTATTCCTTTAAATGGCATCACTAATCATTTAAAAGAATAGATTATTACATTGACAGCAAATAAAAAGAAAGTCTACCTTCATTGTCAGTAGTTTATTGTCCACTTCTTGTGTTTCTTACCAGAACTTGACTTCATGAGCTTCCTATTCACCTAAGGAGTGGTGGATGGCTGGTAAAATTGAGTACATGCCCAAGCCAGTATTGATGGAATAAAAATGGCTTCAATACAAGGCCTCTGTTAACATGTATTCTGTTTTCCTTACAAATTTATGGTTTTTTTCCTCCAAACATATGCATATCTGAAATTCAAATTGAGTGCACCTTACCTCATGCTCTCCGTACCTCTAATGAGGTGGAAAAATGTACATTAATGACGGAAAGTTATTTAGTGCTGAACAGAGTTAATTGCTTCTAATCACTGCTTACATCCATCTGGTTTTATGGTAGACAACAAACCTCTTCATTGGGTTTGCTCATTAGACATATTGTAAATCACAGAGATGCACTGGCATCTTGCATATTGTGTTTCTATT